TATAGGCAATTTAATCTGTTTTGATCACTTGGCTGATATGATAGTATTGTACTGGCAAAGTATATATGATAAGTAAGACTAATGCCTAGCTAGAAGCCCAGACCCAAAGCTGCTGTAATTTGGACTTCGATGTATTCCATGTAGTGCAGAACCAATTCCCCCTTGCTTATTAGCTTAGTGTTCTGTACAAATAAAGAGTTCTAGTTTCTCTATAAGATATTACACAGGCCTCCTTTGTCTTTTTGCCCTTTACATCCAACACCTTTTAAAAACGATCTGGTAAAGACTTTCTATGATTTCCTAAGCTTTGCTAGGATCAAACACTTTCATTCTCTCCTGAAACAAGGCTGAGGATACAGCAGGTGTCTGAGTAAATGACCATAGTTGTACTGTGTTCACACAAATGTAATGCAAGTGAAGCAGCTGGCCAGCAGCCTTTTACAAACCTCATTGAAAGCTGTTTGCCTCTTTGTAAAATGGATGTTGGGAAAAGACACACTCACAACCTAACCACAAGATCTGATTCTGCACAACTTGTTTATGACTCTATTCCATACTCCATTAACTGGATTGCTGGGGAAGGAGCAGTTGGGAAAGCAGGTTGGAAAGACAAACTAAACACCTGCCTCCCAGCAAGGTCATAACCCTGCCAAAGTCAGAGGAACTTTGATCTGTGCTTGGACCAACTCTTGCACCCTGTCTGTTGCATGGCTATGCCAGATGATGTGAATTAGACTCCCTGCTGATCACAGTAAACCTCAAAACTGTGGGGATTTAACATCTTGATAGAACTTTAGGAGAAAGAGTTTTCTTCAAATTCATCCAGGTATAAAATAGTACCCAGTCAATTTTCACAACCTCTGATCGTCCTTGGGAACAACAAGCTTTTATGCCTGAAGAGTGACTAGAAAACTGTCAGTATATGTTTAGGTTCTTGACTTTTTTGGGGAGCACTTGCTAAAGAAGACTTGGCTTCTTTACCAAGTGCTCCCAATGCATACATTTCCCAAAATACAACTAAAAACTGAACAGAGAGCATTTTTAAACTACAAACTATAGAAATATGAAGTTTTTTTTCCTGATTTCAGCATTGTCTGCTTTCTATCACATCTTACTGAAGGGGTTTTGTTGGGGGAAAACACATGTGGTTTAGAAAAAGTTTGAGTAGATTTACTACTGCTTCATCTGGCATATGGTGAATAGCCATAGTGATCTTACAAAGGTCCAGTGCAAAGTTGAAGAATAGAAGAGAACAGAGTAGAATGGAACAGGAGTAATGGCAGTGAACGTGACTCTTATCAGGAACGAAACAAGCAGAAGTAACCACCTCTGTGTGGGAACCCTATCAGTTTCCAAAGAGGGTATTGTTTTTAATAACCCATCATCTTTCCTTTTAGTCATAATCATAAAGGTAGGAGATACCATTTTAATATCTTGTTTGTTAACTTCAAGATAGTATTCAAACATGAAAATGTCAGTGTAAACAGTCTCTAATTTACAAATATTAGCATATCAACAGGGTATGCTTGAAATCAAGAACTGTAAGGTCACCCAGTAAGTCTCATCAGAAGAATTTTAATACAAAAGCTGTAATCACAGAATCACTGGCTTTAAACTACTGAATTCCCTAAGGGATGTTTTATAATGCAAAGGAGTGCAATCATGTTTGATTTTCTTTATTGCTAACTCTGCATGGAGATCTGAAAAAATCACTATTAATCTAAGCCAGACAACATAGTCCTTAAATGAAATGTAAAACAATATCCTACAATGATGTTCATGCTGATTGCAGCTTCCCATTTGCAGGGTGAAAAAAAGGCTCTGTTAGGCTGTCCTCTTTCCCTACTGTGTATTCTGCATAGGCTATGAAGCATTTATCTGCTAAAAATAAAATGTGTTTTTAAGGTTAGAGCTTTGTTTATCTCAAGCAAAACCTGGTCATCTTTTAGAAGAACAGATAAGCATGAGAAGTTGGATTTGGTTCTGGTCTTGTAAGACTTACAAACCTTGACCGCTTATAGCTTAGAAATCTCTGTCCCAGAAAACTAAATGTTTAATTGCTCTGAAAATGCTCAGGCTTCAGAGATCTTCATTGATATGTATGATATAGAATTTCAGACTTATTTCTGGTTTACAAAAGCAATTGGAAAAACATGTGAGCAATTGTTCCTGAAGAGCTGTGGCTAAATTTGAAGTAGATGCAGGGGAATTTAAGTTGTTCTGGATGGCATTAAAGAAATGAAAGATACTGAAGTTATGCACCTATTCAGATTTCGGCATGTATTGAGGAATGAAGAGGACAAAGGGGAGCCAGGGACCGTGTGAATAATATATATTCGAGGCTTGATATTATTAATATGAAAAGTACTAGAAAATTGTCTTTGGGTCTTTGCTGGGCCTTGAGCACAGATCTAGGCTTGATGCCCTCTGTTCCATTGAACACCATTACGAAAACAACACTTGGTTTACCTACAGAAGTGCTGATGCTCTCGGGAAGCTGATGAGTGTGATACAAACAAATCTTTGTTCAGAATAAAGGCACTGTCGTAATGGATACATTGTATTGCCTTCAGAATAGCAAACTCCAAAATTCTTGTCAAACTATTATTTTCTGGTGTATTTATATAGGAAATGACTGTGAAGGATAATGTCTGAGGATAATTCAAGTGGAAGAGTTATAAAGGAATAGAATGTTATCAATTAATAAATCACAACCGAATGGGTCATCAATACTTTATTAATATATGATCTTTTTCTCATCTCACATTAGCACAGCATGCTTTTTGTCTTCACCTATCTAGACTGATGTTTAAATATAAGCCAATAGTTTTCACAAACCAAGGGCAAATGAATTGCAGAGTTGTGATAATCCATTTAGGGGTCAAAAGCACATATCGGTCTAGCAGGACTGACTAATTTATGAATAGAGACAAGTCCTTGCTCTGTAAGTTGTTAGAACTATTTTGGTTTATGGTAGGCCTTGTCATTTGAAATCATGAAATATGTCTCAAAAGACTAATTAGGCTTTTGGTCTATATGGAGCGAGTCAGATGTAAAAAAAGAAATAGAGTAACTCTTGGAGCCAGTTTGAGTAATTTTTCATGAATTTTTATTTTCTGCATGCAAAGGAATCCCAAATTGCTCCTGTTCATCCTAAGTCTGCATTCTATGGAGGTGTTTCTTGTGTGATAAATGACCAACTTGGGAATTTACTGCTAAATTAGTTATTTCATTATTTCAAATGTCACTTTAGAATACTTCCACATGAATTGAAGCAAGTAAATTAAACACAATATAAAGCCCACAGCTCAGGTAGAAGGTGTCTCTTATCAGCTGAAATGTGTTAAACTGTAAGTGCAGCTGTCCTTTCCTAATGCAAGAGGAAATGGATTAACACAGAGCCCCATGTTAGTCAGTTAACCCAAGAGAGCTGAAATGGTTTCTGTATGCTGCTGCTCTCTTCTGACTGAAGGAACACAAGCTCAGTAACATGGTATTGTTTGTGTTTTTGATTGGATGACTAAATCTTTGGATGGGTGAGTAACGAACAAAAGAATGACAAAGAGCTAGAGATGCTTTCCAGACTACATTTTAGATGAATAGTCATGGGTCAGCACTTTGAAAGCTTCCTTATTTTGCAAATGCTTTCACATGTAAACAGTGGCAAGCAAAATAACTGAAGAAAGAGATATTGGGGTGATACAATCTGTCCATGTCTACTAATGAAACAATAGCACTGTGTCTGAATTTATCAGCTCTCCGGGTTTGTAGATGCTGCAAGCGCTGGGCTCTCAGGCACACAGCATAGGGACTTACCCACTGCATTTAATTCTAGTCAGCCTTTCCCTGTAAGTTTATAACAGGATTATATTGGGTTCAGAGACAGGAGATGAAGGTAACTAAGGCAGGTAAAGATCATAAGCAGAGACTGAAAGATCTCCTGCTCCATGCAGAATTTGTTGTTAGGCTTTTCTAAATAACTATACTGAACTTACTATGCATTAAAGTCTTTCTGCCTATATATATGAAAATACACGTACCCTGGCTTCAGGCTCCTGTTCCTTCTGCCTCTTCCCTTCTTGTTGTGAGAAGCCAAAAATGCAGCTTCCCTTTTATTTTTCGTCTGTGGGTTTCCCCTACAGAAACTGCACAGACTTCGACATAGATACAATAATAATGTACATGTTTTTATTTCCAACCTGTTTCCCTTGGGAAAAACTTTCCCGGTAATTGTTTCTATTTCACCTCAGAAGGTGCTAATGGTAGCATTTTTTGGAAGGGAGTGGCACGGTGATTTCTGTGTATAAATATCAACAGGAATTCTAGAAATACCTTGCTACATAGCTGGTGATTCAAGCTGTACATGAACGTTTCTGGTAGTTTTACCTAATGCACTTTTACTGTGAAGTCATTTCAAGATACAGATGTTATATATATATATATATAAACACACATATATTGGGCTTGATGATCTTAAAGGTCTCTTCCAACCTAGCTGATTCTATGATACAGATATACATTAACTGCACAGACGGACGGGCACTCCCCAAGTCCCCCCCCTCAGGCAGCCCCGCGCCCGGTCCTGCCGGCAGGTGGCGGTGTGTGCCCGGGCTCCCCGCCCCGCCCCTCCCCGGGGGTCTGTTCCCGCACCCCGAGGGAAGACCAACAGGAGGGGATTTCTGCCTTCTTCCTCGTTTTTCCCTTTGTAAACTCAGTGAAGTTCCATCAGCTGCCCGGGTCTCCCCGCGCTGCATCATACCGACCACAGGCAGCGCTTACCCCTCTCAGCCCCTCACCCTCCTCGGGTCGTGGCAGTCCTCAGCTGCCGCTGCCCGCCAGCTCCCCCGGCAGCCGGGGCAGCTCTGTAACCCCATCAGGCAGCGCCGCCGGAGATGCGGGCAGGGCAGGGCAGGGCAGGGCAGGGCGTGGGGGCCCGCTCCCCCTGCCGGGGGTCTGGGAGGAGGGAAAGCGAAGGGAGGATCCTCCAGGATCCAGGTAGATCCAGCTTTTACCGCTTACCAAAAGCCACCAGCAGCAGGACCTCCGCCTCCTCCCTCCCTCCCTTCCTCCATCCGCCCTCCTCCCCTAACTCCCTCCCTCCCCTGCCCCTCCGCGATGAGAGACGGGCCAAGTCGGAGCGCGCCAGCCAGCAGCGATCCCAGCCAGGGGCAGACACATCGCTTTCATGTCGCAGGGTGACTGCTAGCCCTGCGGAGGCTCCCCCGGCCGGGGCTGGGGCTTGGGCCGGGGCCGGGGAGGCAGCGGCAGCGGGCGGGCAGCTGCCGGGTGCCTGCCGGCCCCGCGGGATGCTGGCGGCGGGGGATGCGGAGCCGGCCGCGGACTAACATGGGGGGCAGCCACTCCCACAGGGCGCCCGTCTTCGACGAGAACGAGGACGGTGAGTGCGGAGCTGTCCGCGGTACCGCGCCCTCCGCGCTGCACCGGGGGCGGGCTGGGACCGATCCCCCCCGAGCGGGCTGTCTGCTGGGGCTGAGCTGCCGGGGAAGGAGGAGGGGAAAAGCCCACCTTTGTTTAGCCGTCCGCGCCGGTAGCGTGCCTATTTGCCCCCAGCTGAGCTCAGCTGAAGTGTAGCACACTGTCACTTGGGGTTCAAGCACATGGCAGGTAACTTCATACACGCCTTTGTGAATGGGCATCCTGTTAGGGATGGGAGCTTGCTTTTTTGTTCTGATTTATAGCCGACTCTTTGCCCACCTGCCCATTTTAAACGGTGATGTCTCCCTCAGTCGGTATACTTCTTAAATCACCTTTACTTTCTGAAACTTTTTTTTAGCTAGCTCTATTACTCTGAGATTTTTCTCCCTGCCTAGGTAATGTGTCATAAGAAAGTGTATCTCGTAAAGTTTTCAAAAGGCAATAGAAATGTTTGCATAAAATATAATGTTTCTTCACAATTTATGAATTTCCATGCCATTTTCATACATAGACCACATTTAACTGAAATTTTGTGAATGCATTTCAATTACAATCATTTTGGCTTTTGAAGCAATGAGAACACAGCACTCTTAGGAAGCAGAAAATTGTGTATTATCACTAGCAATGTCTTAATGTTACTTATGGGATAGATGTTTTTGCCTATCTGGATGATGGATGCTTTATTTTGAGTATGTTCCTTTCCAAAATGTTCCCAATGTATTGTATTAGGAGGTGATTGTGCCCAGTAGACTATCATACTGTTTTGGCTTTCTGAGACTGCTAACAAATAAAAGACATTTATGTTCTTCCCTATATATTCAGGACACGTGGAGGTATTTGTATTGTTTTGCTAATAGGGAGAATATATATTAAGTGAATGTAAAGTGCTTAAAGAGGGTGAATGCACTTTTACTTGAATTTAAGATACAACTATATGTCTATTCCTCAACAAAGCTTGAATAGGTATTTGATAAGGTTTGTTTTACAAGACTTCATTGCTTGTGTGAAGAATGGGACACACTATTTACTGTTTGTGAATTGTGGTGCAATAGCTGTTTTTTCCTTGTATTGATATAAAATTTCAGTCATTTAACATGAACATGTTATGTAAAGGAGCGACAAAGATAGGTAAGATCTTGATCATGAGCAATTAGTCTTGTAAACCTTGAGGTAACTCAACAAGAAATACCCAGGAATGAAAGCATGGTCTCAATATTGTCTAGACACCCCAACATAAAAAAATAGCCTTCATCAGACTTTTGATTGAGCTCTCAAGTTAGCAGTTTCCATGAATTATTATTCCTTTTATTTTTTTTTTATTTTGTGTTCCGTGACACAAAGCTGTGGTCAGTTTTTGAACAAAATGAGCAAAGTTCAACAGTAAATTACTGCAGAGAAGACTTCATGACACTTAGTTCTTTTTCCCTCAGTAAAACATTCTGTAACAGAGCCGTTATTAATACCTAATAAAAAAGCACATAAAGTATTTATGGATTTCTATTAGGTCATTATTTATTCTTTGTCTGGTTTTGTTTTGCTCAGGATTTTTTTCCTTATTATGAATGTTCCTAGCATCATCTCTTTTTTCTTCTTAAGACATTATGCTTAGCACAACAACCTAGTTCAGAAGAGTCCACTGCTTTTAAAACAATAACCTATTTCCCATACTCCTTACAGATTATTAGTCAGGATGACATTTTCCCCAAGTACCTACATAATACAGGAAAACATCTCTTTGAAAATGTATCTTACAAGTTTCAATCCAAAACCCAGCTGTATCTCATAGTCTCACTAGTAGCTACAAGAGTCACAATTTTCCACAATATTGGACTCATTATGAAATTAAAAAAGAAAGCAAATCAGAAAGTATAGGAAGGGAAAGTAGAATGTTTCTTGATATGGTATGATTTTGCTCAAGAATGGCAATGCTTACCAACTGAAAGAGAACAGGAATAAATTAGTTGTGTATAAATACACAGGCACAGTAGAAACCAAGCTATTTAGCCTGTTGTGTGTAACGTCACAGCTGCCTCTTCAAATGAGAAAAACGAGCAGAAAAAAGTATGATCATTTAATGTTTGTATGGGTTAATGATGGATGTAGAATAACACATAGGTTTTGGAAGAAGAGATTTCAAACCATTAATTGGCAGTTTGTAAATGATAGGAAAAGTTAATTATACAGTGTGCAACCTAACAAAGAAATACATAGAAATAGTATGTGAAGAGCACGCAGACAGTGCCTGACAAGCTTATAGAATACCTGTTCCAGAGTTACAAATCATGCTTTCAGTCTAATGAGAAAAGGTGTTGACCCATTGAGTAGATCTAAAAACTATTCATTGGATGTAGACTCCCTGCCATGCTTCAGATGATAAAAAGTGACCCAGGCAGAAGGCTGGACTACATGCTGTAAATCCCCAGTTATCACAGACAGCATAACACATCATTATCGTATGCTGATCTTTTAGAAGTCCATAATACACGCCGTTTATAACTAGCTGTATTTGTTCTCTATGTTATGTTTTTGTTAGAAGGATCTTCCAGAACTTCACTCTTTGGTTAGAAACATCTGTTTTCCTGATTAAATGATTCCTTGCCTATTTATAAGATTTATGTTTATTACAACATTTTTGTTAGCATAAAGTGTTTTCCACCCTCCATAATTACTCCAGTGCATTGATAAACAGCAAAAATGGCCCCTCCCAGTCTTTGGTTTGTAAGAAACCTCTTCTAATTTTCTCTTATTTCTACCGCCTTTTCATTCCCTGTGCCCCTCATCTGCACGCATTTGAACCTGCCTTGATTGCACGCAGATAATCCAGAATTGCACGTGACTTGTCACCAGGACCTTGTGCTAGTAAAAATACTTCCAGATCTCTACTAGAAATAGCTTTCCTGGTGCATATGCCCTTTTCATGGGTGTATCATGTAGATAATTCAGTCACCCTGTGATCAGTTAGACCACCAGTGCCCTATTCAGTCATTTCCATTGATGAGCTCCAACCTACAGGAGAATTTTTTGGTGTTTCTATGTACATGACCTTGCATTATGCATGGCTGAATTTTGGTCCATCTCTATTTTTCATAGTCTCAAATATGATCACCCATTTCTTTCCTTGTGATGCTCTCATTCTCCACCATTTTACCAGTGTTTTCTATTACAACCACTCTCATCAACTCCATGCCAGTTATCAAGTCCATTGAATATTTTGTGTAAATACTCAGCTGGATTGTTTCCAGATTTCATCTCCTTTGCTGTTAACCCCTGCCGGCCTCACCATTCCCATTTCAAAACAAAACAAAGCAGAACAAAGCCAACATTTTTTTTCCCTTGTTACTCTCACCGTCTAACCCAGCTGGTAACTCAGCCCTGCACAGCCGCTCACCCACTCCTCACCCACATCCCACAAGAGGATAGGAGAGAGAAGCCAGAGCAAAAGTGAGAAAGCTCCTAGGTTGAGATAAACACAGTTTAACAGGTAAAGCAAAAGCTATGCACACAAACAAAGCAAATGAAGGAATTCACTCACCACTTTCCATGATCAAGCAGGTATTCAGCCATCTCCAGGAAAGGAGGGCTCAATCACAAGTAACGGCTACTTGGGAAAACAAACTCCAACACTCCAAGCATCCTCCCCTTCCTTCTTCTTCCTCCAGCTTTGCATGCTGAACACGATACCCTGTGGTATGGGATATCCCTTGGGTCAGTTGGGGTCAGCTGTCCCTGCTGTGTCCCCTCTCAACCTCTTGTTCACCCCCAGCTCACTTGCTGGTGGGGTGGTGTGAGGAGCAGAAAAGGCCTTGTCTCCGTGTGAGCACTGCTCAGCAGTAGCAAATACATCTCTCTATTCCAGCATAAATCCAAGACATAGCCCTATACTAGCTACTATAAAGAAAATAAACTCTATCCCAGACAAAACCAGCACAGTTACCCACCTTGCATTTTGCCATTTAATTCTCACCTTGTTCAGCTTTGCTTGTACCATCTAATATATCACTTCCCTGAAACTGAGAAAAATTAAATCTAGGCCAATTCTACCATCTACAAAATAAGTTTCTCATCAAGGAAGAGCATCTGGTTACTCTTGTGCAAACAACTTCTGGCAAAGCCATGCTGTATTTACTTCATTCCTTTCTTCTTAGCCTAGGTTAAAGCACAACAAGAGCTAGGAAAATCTGGTGAACAGAGTCCTTTGTATGCTTAGAGCTTACACTCTGGTTAAAGAAGCTCAATGGAAAAATGTTTCATTTCTTGATTTTTATTGCTGTGTAGGTTGGATAGAAAACTAGGTCTGGTGTAGCAGCATTGCTACCTTTAATCGAAGATAAATACTTTCATGGCTTGGAACTATAACATTTTTTCCCAACATTTAGAAAGTGTTTCAAGCTAGATACTATACTAATTGTTTTGTTAATACTGCTGAAACAAAGGAATGTTGACTCTCTTTACCTTGAATATTTCTATTCTCAGAAGAGCTATCCTCTCCTGAATATGTGCATCCAATACTAATGCTAGGACAGCAAGGTAGTACATTTTTTCCTCATGTTCAACTCTTCAGAAATGGCAATAAATTCACAAGAATGGCAATAGAAGGGTGAGGGGAATATTCACTACTGGTAAATGTTTTTTGCAAATTCTCAGTAAATGTCATAAGTGACAAATATGTTAGCAATAGCTTGGTGACTAAAGAGGTCCATTCATGCTGGATTTGCTTAAGCATGCTCTGTTAAAACCTCAGAGATATTTAACAGGTGAAAGTGAAATAGAGAAAAGAGTTATTCAGAAAAGGGCCTACTCAGGAGAGCTATAACTACTACTACACAGTAATAACATATTTGCCTATATTGTGGTAGAAGATACAGAGGAAAGGATAAGAAACAAAAGCATTAGAGGCTAGAAGTTGGTCCTGTGAAATGAGATGGCATATGTATTTGATTGTTTGGGGCTAAAACGTCAGCT